TACCGCAACGTGGTGCAATTGGTAAAAGTTGCAGTGTGCACCCCGAGCACTACCACATGTGTAAAAGCATGCCATATGTATGGATCACCTCATGTACGTGTCATCATGTCATGTACATGTGACTTGTGTTCCATAATCAGACAGCTGCGGCACATCAGCATGCGATTTCTATCGTGTACGCGTCGGACAGAATTTGTTGTGTGCGATTCAGGCCGCCGTCTTTATAGGTGCAGTTTGAAAATTGGTTCGAACAATTCCAGAGCGGAACGTATGTTCCCACCTTCAGTTCCTCTTCCACGTCTGCTAGGAGGAGGAAGAGGAGAAGGACCCACCCCTTGTCCCCCTTATCAACTCACCCAGTTGTGTACCAGCTCCGACGGGCCGAAGCAGTCAATCACCCACACCGGATCTCAGTTCGGTGACGTAATTTCCTCAATTCTTTAGATACCATGTCAGACCGCAAACCTGCAGTTCAACAAAAGCAACATGTTGGACACTGACAGTTTGAAGAGCATCGATGAACATCCCTCATAGACTTCCTTCCATTCGGTTGATAAGGAGGCAGGGGGGGATGATCTTGCATTTCGATCTGCGTTCCGACTTCAGTTGGATTTGCATGTCGACGTGTATGCCGATGATCGTTTCAATTCGAAGTGGCATCTTGCGTTCGGAGTTACGTTACCATGAGCATGCATAAGTGCATACCGAAGTACACTCCAAAGTCCATTTCGACTTGAATGATGGCTGCATGTGCATTCGCATTACGATGTACATTATCATTCGCAACCTGATGTTTTACAATTAGCGTGCATGCCGACGGCAGCTGCAGTGTCATGTCCGTAAGGGCTTCGCCCTCTGCCGCGGGCCCCTCTTTGCCACAATGGGAGAAATCAGAGCCGTGTCGAGGTGTCTGAGCGCCGTCTTGAAGACATCTGGGAACATCATGCGGGGACGGATATGCACCAGCAAAACATTTTGAGATGCTGGGGCTATTATTGAGCACCTCGTTGTTTTTGGGGGAGCGTTCCCCGCGCGAGCCTGGAGTAATTTATCAGAGCATCTGGCTTCGGGAGCGCGAAGTTGGAGTAATTTACAAAGGATTCTGGCCTCGGGAGCGCGAATCACGCGCAATGTACAAAGAGATCTGGCCTCGGGGGCGCGAACTTGGTATACTTTGCCATGGGATGTGTTTCTGGGAACCCGAATCCGGCGCAACGTATGCTGGATTCTGGCTTCGGGAGCGCGAGCAACATATATTGTACAAGGGTTCTGGCTTCGGGAGCGCCAAACCGGGAGTAATTTGTTAGGAGTCGCGACGAGAGATCTTGCGGAGCGCTGGAAGGCGCAGCACGGCACAGCCTCCCTTGCTCACCACAGACCCAAGACCAAATGTGCTTCTAATTCTACGACGCTTCTCGCACGGCGTCTTGGCGCCCGGAATTGTGAGGACGTATCAGGCGACACGGGCTGGACCACTTCGCGCGCGGCATCTCGGAGTTCAGAGCTGATCTGATTTTTCAGGCGAAACGCACTGGATCCCTCTCGCGCGCGGCATTTCGGAGCACAGACTTTCGAGGGTTTCTCAAGCGAAACGGGTTGGACCCCTCTCGCGCAGCGTCTCGGAGCTCAGAATGCGAGGACGTCTCAGGCGAAACGCGCTGGATAATCTCTCGCCCCACATCTCGGAGCTCCGAATTGCGAGGATGTCTCAAGATAAACCCCCAATCCTGGCAACGGCAACTTTCGCTGACCATGGTGGATATTTTGGAACGTGAGTGTGTGACAAGTGCTCCCTTCGGGCGACACATGCGGCAGCTTTCTTTTTTGTAGGAACTCAGGATTGATTGTTGTTTCATGGGTGATCCGAGGAGAGTTGTTGTATACGGCTTGGGTCAGGGCGTTGTCGAACGCGTGATGAAAAAGCAGATCGCACTCCTTGTCACTCCAAGAGGACCGCCGCACGAGGAGTTCTGGCGTCGAGAGCAAGAGCCTGGTGTCATGTACAATCGATTCTGGCTTCGAAAGTTCGAACGTGGAGCAGTTTACAAAGGGTTCCAGCCTCGGGATCGCGATGCTGGCGTAAGTCACAAGGGATTCGCGCCCCAGCTGCGCGAATTGGGAGTAATTCCCCAATCAGGGCCTGCCTCTGTAGGGGTCCTAGCGGATTCATATGGTTAGGTTAGGTTTGTCGCCGATTTTCGCTGCACGCCCGGGTGCCCGGGTACCCGGGGTTGCTTGGGTGCCCGGGGGGTGCCCGGGGGTGCCCTATAGCCTTATGGCCCTAAGCCCAATAGCTTGTAGCCCTACAACTCTATAGCCCATATAGCTCTATAGCTCTATAGCCCTATAGCTCAATAGCCCTATAGCCCTATAGCCCCTAGCCCCCCGAGCCCTATAGCCCTGATTGGGGTTTTTCTCCGGTATAATTTGTTACATATTCTGGATTCAGCAACGTGAATACGGTGTCATCTACGAAGGGTTATTGCCTCGGGGGCTCGAATATGACGTATTTGCGCGTGTCCCAGACCCACCAGACATTCAAGCAACGCGCTTTGGGGATGGTATGGTGGCCAGGGTGGGTTTCGCCGCCCCCCCCATCGAACGGACAGCAACAATGTGCAGTAGGAGGCGAAATTGGAATCGGGCTTTGACTACACAGCGGCATGTTGGCGAATACATACTGCGCGGATGTGCATGGCAAGGAATGGTTATGGATGGACGACGTGCTTCGCGAGGACAAGGAAATGACTCGTAGAAATCCCTAAGAGCGAAGCGGCGAAGCTTTAGAGTAATTCCCGCGCTGGCGGTCGTAGCACTATAACATTGAAGACTGGAAATTGGAATTGGAGCAGATTGCAGGAAAGCTAGTCGCGCAGCCTGATGGCCCCACAAGGTGGCCGGCAAATCGATTCGGATTCCGTTTCGCATGTAGAGGTCGATGTTGATCCACATTTAGACGGCGTGGCTCTGGTTGCGCAGGCACATCGTCGCTCTCGCACAGCCTTGTCTCGCCCGCACGCACGAACCGAAAACGATTTCCCGATTTGGGTCGCTTTGTTCTCACCCCCAACCTCCGATAAAATATAGGGGTCCCACTCCCTCTGTCAATGCTTAGGCTAAACCCATTGTTTCGTGAAGGATGCGGGCACGCCGTGCGGGACCGATTGCGTATATTCAGGATTTCCGGGTCGCAGCCCAGCTATCATGGTTGCGTGTTTCTCGAGTTTTATTTTCGTTTCCGGACCAAAGCGGTTTTCCTCAGTAGGTTGCGCTACGTTTGCGAGACCCGGAGGGAAAATTTGATCGGGCAAGGACCCAACCAGATGCAGTTGTGAGTAGCGCAGTTGTGGGCATCGTCATTGGGTGCAAGGGACGCATGCGAGAACCGCCACCGCGGCCTTCGGTGGAGCTTCCAATGGAGCCACGAAGCGTGTGAGGGGTGAACTGGATTAGGTGCGGGGGGGGACGCATGCGAGAACCACCGTTGTGGCATTAGTTGGGGCTCCAGATGGGGCCACGAAGCGTGTGAGGGGTGCACTGGATTAGGTGCGGGGGGGACGCATGCGAGAACCACCGTTGTGGCATTGGTTGGGGCTCCGGATGGGGCCACCAAGCGTGTGAGGGGTGTGCCGAATCGGGCGCAGGGGACGCATGCGAGAACCGACATTGGGGCCGTCGGTGGAGTTCTAAGTGGGGCCACGAAACGTGTGACGAAACATGTGGGGTGTGCCGGATCGGGTGCGGGGGAGGACGCATGCGAGAACCGCCACTGTGGCCTTCGGTGGAGCTCCAAATGGGGCGACGTAGTGCGTGAAGGGTGTGCCAGCTTGGGGCCTCCTGTGGAGCTCCCTATGGGGCCACGAAGCGTGTGAGGGGTTGGCCGAATTTGCGTGCGGAGGGCAGAGGCAGGCATGAGAGGAGGGAAAGGGCAGGATGAGGGGGAGGAGGAGGAGGAGGAGGAGGAGGAGGAGGAGGAGGAGGAGGAGGACGAGGAGGAGAAGGAGGAGGAGGGGGAGGAGGACCAGTGTAAACCCAAGGCCCATCAACGATGTTGGAATAAACCCTCCCCCCAAGCTCCCTCATCGTAGGCCGCTACAAGGGTTCATTTCCACTGGAGGAAGTGCCCCGTTGGGAGCCACCCTTTTGAAGATCCTGGAGCGGGGCAAAACAACATTCTCGGGACTTCAACGCCACGAATGAACTTAACTGCTGCGTCTTGACGATCCTGAATCGCGCCAAGACACCATGTCTGAGACTCCACCGCTAATCAGCATAACTGTTGCGCCCTTGCAATCCTTAACCGTTCCAAAACACCGCTTCTGATGGGTTAACCACAAGAACCCGTGAAGCTTCTGCATATGTTTAAGACGAATGTGCGCGGCGCTACGGCGAAAGCCACATTTTGAAAAGGAGCCGCCCTCAATCCGTGAAAATTTACCCATGTTTAAAACAAATGTGCGCGGCGCTAAGGCGAGAGCCACATTTTCAAAACGACTTGTCTTCAATCCGTCAAAGTCTTACGGATGTTTACAATGAATTCGCGCGGCGCTACGGCGAAAGCCACATGTTCAAAACGACCTGCCGTCAATTCGCGAAACTCTTGCAGTTTTTTAAACCTATACGCGCGGCGCTAAGGCGACAGTCACATGTTAACAACCATCCGCCCTCAATGCGTGAAAGTCCTCCACATGTTTAGAATCAATGTGCGCGGCGCCCAGGCGAGAGCTACAGTTTGAAAACCAAGCGCCCTCCGTCCGTGAAGCTGTTGTCAAAGTTTAAGTGTCAGGGTCACAAATCGTGAGGACGTCTCAGGCGAAACGCTCAGCATCGCTCTTTCGACCGGCCATGGGGGGCGACAGGGAGGAGTTGTTTATATGGAAATGATTGGAGGACGCGGGGCACTGCCTCTTCAGCACGATGACCCAACACAACAGGATGGTTAAGAAAAAGACTATCAATGACACGCCCCCGCTGGGAACCCGTCGGCGTGCAGCCCTGAGGTCTCACTTCGCACAACATGTTCTGGCCTGCTGGCGGCGAGGAGGTGTCCGTCATGCTCCGCAGCGGCGACGCCGTACTCTTCGACGGCAAGGAACTGCCGGCGCCACGGCCCCGCCGCTGGCAGCGTCTTGTGTTGTGCGGGCATGCGATTGTAAAAGCCCACCAACTCTGTGGAAGCACAGCAGGCCCACACAGCAAGGAGTTGGCTTCCAACTGGTGCCCCACGGGGGCTTCTTGTCGCCCGATGAGCCCTCAGAGCCGTGGGGGCAGCGTACGAAGCTCAGAGCCGACGAAGGATGCTCTTTGGGATGTTTTATAGCAAGCTGCTGTCGTCGTTGCTTCTTGCATGTTCCCCAAAGTGGTGTTTGCCCCCCCCAGACCTCCGCCTCTTGGGTGTGGCTTGTTTCGTGGTCGCTGACCGCGCTGCCCTCTGGCGATCCAAGCAGGCAGCCGCGGTTGCCGCTATTGGGCGCCGTGGGTCTTCGGCTTAAGGTCTTGGGACTGGGAGGTCATCGTTGGTGTTCGCCGCCGTGGATGCTGACTGGCACTAGACACTTCTCCTCGTCCTCCTCTTTACCGCTCGCTTCCCCCTTCTCCCCCTACACCCTCGCCACCGCATATCAGATCCGCTTCCCGCTTCCCACGCAGGAACAATGAATTTTATATTCTCTGCGTTTGCTAGTGGATAGGCCAGCGTCTGGAAACGTACATGGAAGCGTTTTGTACGCAATGAGTGTGTTTCAAGCGTTGTTGCGCAATGCTGTTTTGCAACATGCAAGCTGAGATGTGAGATCTGAGTTGGAGAATCCACAACATGATCAATATCAGCTGCGAAGTTCGAGTTAAGCAATATGAGACAGCCAATCCCTTCAACGAGCAACCCCTGAATAGTATGGCACCCGAGAGGACGTCAACGTTGGAGCTAGAATAGGGCTGGAACTCGAGCTGGGGCTGGGCTGGGAATCGAGCTCGACCTAAGCTGGAGCTGACGCTGGTGTTGGAGCGAAAATGGACCTGGAGCTTGAGCTGGAGCGAAGCTGAAACGTGTGCTGGTGCGCTGGAGCGCTGGAGCTGGAGGTAGGCCTCGAGTTGGAGATCGAGCTAGAGTTGGGTTTGGAGGTGGAGCTGGGCTGGAGGTCTGGGGCGTTAGCGAATCTGGAGCTGGAGCTGTAGCTGGGGCTGAAGCGAAGCTGGAACTTGTGTTGGAACGCTGGGGATAGAACTGCAGCTGGAGCGAAGCTGGAGCTTAAGCCAAAGCTGGAGCTGAAGCTGGGCTGGAGCTGGGGCTGGGGCTGGAGCGGGATCTAGGGATGGACCCTGGACCCTGGGCTGGGTCTGAGGCTGGGCCGGAATCGGAATTGGAGCTACAGTGAGCGGCTTGAGTAAGGAACACTTAATATTCAAAATGGGTTCGGTCGTTCCTGAGGCTTGCATGCGTTATATTCCATTCCTTATGCGTTAGTTTTTCTGTATCGTTCTTTATGCGCTACTCCTTGAAAAAGGGGGCTTCGTTTTTTATGTATCGTTCCTTAGGTCAGGCCGATGACGGTAGCGGTTGTGCTGGAGATTGGGTTGGATATGGTGTTGGAATTGGGATGGAGTTTGGGCATCATGAAGAACACCAAACGGTTGAGAGGTTCCCTGCAGACGCTCCAACCAGGTCTGGGAGTAAGGCCTGCCGGCCCCCTCAAGAACATTCGCACGGAATGGTCAAAACCAGGCTTGGGAATGGAGAATTGCATGGCTACCTTGAAGCATCGCACTCCGAGTTTATCAAGAAACCTAGCGTACGGATTTTTGAACATCGGGCGCAGGGGTTGAGCTGGCCAGTTGTGGGGGTTGCACCCGGGTGGTCTCGGGATCCGTTGGTCTCTCCCCTTGGGCCAGGATCCCCTCTGGGCCAGTCCAGGACCCAAGCGCCCGAGCAGACAGCCAGAGTTTTCGAGCTGGAGTAGCAGTAAAAGGAGGGGAGGGGATTGAGGAGGAGGAGGAGGAGGAGGAGGGAAAGGGATTGAGGAGGAGGGAAAGGAGGAGGGGGAGGGGGTTGAGGAGGAGAGAGAGGTTGGGGGGGAGGAGGAGGAGGGGGAGTAGTTAGGCGGGGGAGGGGGTCGAGGAGGAGGGGGAGGGGGTCGAGGAGGAGGAGGAGGGAGAGGAGGGAGAGGAGGGGGGGAACGCGGGAGGCCCCTCTTCTCTTCCTCGTCCACTTTGGGGCATCCCGTCCCCGGCCCGCACTTCTCTGCCGCCCCCCTCCCCTGGTGCGCAGTCGGAGCACGCGGCCCCGGAGGTTATGGAGAATTCCAGCCCTTTCCCAGGAGAGCTCCCTGTTTTCGTCGTCGTCGTTATCGTTGTCGTCGTCATCGTTGTCGTTGCAATGCCTTGGAGAAGTGCTCTCTCTCTCTCTCTCTGTCTATTCTCCTCGTCCTCCTCCTCCTGCTCCTCGTCCTCTTCCTCATCGGCATGTTCACAATTACACATCATGAATAGTACTCTTCTCTCTCCCCAGACTCTGTCGGAAAGATTTCTGGCCCTCTCCGCGTACTGTTCTCTTACGCTGGATTTCACATGTTGATTTCTCGCGTGGTTCTTCACAATCCGACTGTTCCCGTTGCATCGTGGGCCTCATGCTCGGATCGGCGCTTTTCCCCCGCCGTGCAGAATGGCGCTCTCGCCTCAGCGCAGGCCACTTGTCTGGATCCAAATCCTTTTCCATATTTGTCGCCCCCCTCATTTCTCCTCCTCTGCCTTCCCCTGATCCTCCTGCTCATCCCATTCCTTCCACTACAGTTTCTGCTGCTGCTGCTGGTCGTCCTTATCCTATCCTCGCACTCATCCTTGATACTCCTCCTCCTCCTCCTCCTTGTTTCCTGCTGCTCCTCCTCCTCCTCCTCCTCCTCCTCCTCCTCCTCCTCCTCCTCCTCCTCCTCCTCCTCCTCCTCCTCCTCCTATGCACGCACTTCCCCTTTCCAGGTTGCGCACAATTCGATGGGGTCTTTTAGGTGGAGTTCCAGTACGGCTATGACATGCGTCGCTATATATATATATTATATATATATATATATATATATATATATATATATATATAAACAGGCGCAATGGGAAGGGATGGGAGGGAGGGATCGGATGTCTGATATGGCGCGAGCGCACGTAACTTGCATCTCTCGTCGCTCCTCTGTCAATCACATCATTTCTCCTCCTCCTCCTCCTCCTCCTTCTCCTCCTCCTCCTCCTCCTCCTGGGACGTCGTCCTGGGGGGAAATCTCGGAAATCTCCTCCTCCTCCTCCTCCTCCTCCGACTTTCTCATTGGACGTCTTTCCACTCGGATGCCACATCAGACTGTGATTTCTTTGCCAATCCCCAAACAAATTGACTGCCCGCATAAGCGAAGTTGGTTCAAGAGCGCCCATTGGGTTTTATGGTTGCGCATCCGACGTTCTTGACACACAACGAGCGCCGCGCACCGTTTCCGTGACGTTCGGAACGTGCTTCTGAGCACCCGCACAATTAGCATTGGAATCAAGCATGTGCACCATTTCAGCGCACCTGCGTGTAGAATGGGGATGCCGCCACACAGTTCCCCACTATGTGGTGCCAGCTATCGTGGAGACTCTTGCACTCTCGACGTGTGCCCTCGCAAGCCCCCAATGGCTAGGGAGCTGGGGCGACACCAGCAATCCTTCTTTCATCCTGGTGCCACAGCTGCTACCCATCTTTCTTGGTCACATCGCCACCCCGGTGCCCTTGTTCTCTCCCTGCTCATCCCGCTACCCCGTGTCAGGTACCGACTAACCAATCATTCACATCTTGGTGCCCACCTGCGTTAACCCATTTTGAGAGCCCACTGATCCCGTTGCCGGCTGTTCTCACTCCTGTTGTCCGACCGTTCGCACATCTTGCCTTCGATTGCACGATTTTGTCTTACATATTCCTGCACATCGACTGATTGACAATCTTCCATAGTGCATGATCCTTCAATTTTCCGTGTGGATCTCCATAGTATGAGCGCCGTTCTCATGCACCACCACCACCCCCAACCCAACCGCCTCCGTGACATTTGGAACGTGCTTTTGGGCTTTCCCGCAAGTCGCATCGGAGGCGGAACTGCGCACCGTAGCACGGGGCTGCCGCCTCACAGTTCCCCACGATGTGGCGCAGGCCATCGCGTCCCGGCCGCGTGGCCGATAGACTGCCCACAGACACGAATTTTGCATGTGGGTATTCATTCAAATTTTGGTCAGCTGATCGGTTTACTCTTATGCGGCTGGGACCCATTCCGATGTCGCCCCTCCCCGAGGAGCGTCATGGCAGCCCCCAATATCTGACGTCGATCGGTTTTCACATGAAGCTCGTTGCTCCGTCTTCCTGCACGAAATTCCCTCTCGGTGCCGGACCATGTCAGATGAAAAATTCTTTCAGTGCCAGGCCGGGCCTGATGACATTCATTTCAAATGTTTGTATTCCTCCGCGCTTCACCTTCTTCCCAGCACCAAATTCCGTTCCACCCTCCATCTTGCCTTATCTCGTTTGCGCCGCTGCTGACTGCACCTTGTCTTCCTTGGCCGGTGTTCTTGTTGTCATCTCTCTGTTTCTCGTTTCCTCCAGTACTCCTTCCTTCTCCTTGTTTTCCTGGCTGCCTACATCGCCCGTGTTTTATGTTTATATGGTTTGATGGTTGTCTTGCCTTTATGCATTTGTTATGTATGTTTTTGGTGCTTGTTTTTTCTTTGGTTATCCCCCCTTCTTTCTCTCGCCATCTGTCCCGCCTGCTCCTGTGGCACCGCTGCCTGCCCTACTTGCCCCCGTCCCCCTGATGTTTCCCCACCGTCTCCGTGACATGTGGTTCCTCCTGTCGCGGCGAATGTTGTCGCTGCGCGTGTGCCGCGCGTCTCTCGCTTTTGCCGCTTGCCGCCCATCCAACCTCCTCCGGGGCTCCGCTTTCGACGCGTAGTCGGTGCAAGTATGCATTTTCCCCCCGCTTCCTCATCGCAGCATTTCCCACCGCGGCGCCCCTCTCACGTACCAGATTTCCCGCATGCTGTTTCCAATCATTTCAGCTTCTCGCTGAGGACTCCAGCCGCGCTGAACTGTTCACCGTCCACCCACAAATGGACTTTCGCGCAAGTCTCTCTCGAGTGGTGGCCGCTATTTCTGCCCCCCTCAGTCAGGGGCAACAGGCATCACCGAGAAGCGGCGATCAACACCGTAATTTTCACATGCAGGGGCCAGCCACCCGTAAGGCTGTGTTTCCCGCCTGTGTCCTCTTCCTCCTCCTCCTCCGCCTCCGCCTCCTCCTCCCCCCCCGAAACTCAGTTTGTTGTGAGGCCTTTGAAGAGCTTCCATCGAAAGTAATTGTTTTCGGAGGTACCATCTCAGAGTGCAGTCCAGCTGTTTGGGTCGGCCGTCTTTGCTGCTAGGCAGGGTTTCGACGAGGATATGCTCTGCTCTGCTCCCTTATTCCTCCTCCTCCTCCTCCTCCTCCTCCTCCTTCTCCTCCTCCTCCTCCTCCCTCTTCTTATTATTATTCCATCTCCTTATCATCCCTCCTGTTTTTCCTTCCCCCTCTCCCCCCTCGCCCTGCGCACGCGCGCGGGGGAGAAGGAGGAGGGGAAGGAGGAAGAGGAGAGGACGAAACGAGAGTTGGACGAGGACAATGGCAATCAGGAAGGGGATGCGAAGGCAGAAAAGAAAGAGGAAGGGCAAGGAGGAGTGCAGGATGAGTGGAGGGGGAGGCGGAAAAGGAGGAGGCGGAAAAGGCGGAGGAGGAGTCCACGAGGAGGGCAGAAAGAGGAGGGAGAGAAAGAAACAGAGGACGAGGATGACTGGACAGAAAGAACATAGAGGAGGGAGGGTCGGGCGGAGGGAGGAGAAGGAGGATGAAGGGATGAAGGCGAGGAGCAGGAGGAGGAGGAGGAGGAGGGGGAGGAGGATGGGGAGGAGGAGGAGGAGGAGGAGGAGGAGGAGGAGGAGGAGGAGGAGGAGGAGGAGGAGGGGGAGGAGGAGGAGGATGAAGGATGAAGGCGAGGAGCAGGAGGAGGAGGAGGAGGAGGAGCAGGGGAGGAGGGGGAGGGGGAGAAGGAGGGGGGAGGAGGAGGAGGAGGAGGAGGAAAAGGAGGAGGAGGAGGAGGAGGAGGAGGAAGGGATGAAGGTGAGGAGGAGGAGGCGGAGGATGAGGTGGAGGTGACCCGCCGTAGCCATTTTGGCTCAAGGGGCCTGCTCCTTAACTTCCCAACCTCGGTCAAGGGGTTCTGCCTTTTTGTCGCTTTCGGGAAGGGCCCCCATAGTGCCCGCTTCGCGTGTGGACCCCAGTGTCCACTTCGTCGGCCGCCCGCCTCGCGTGGGATGGCCCCAGGTGGTGATTCTTATGAGCGCGGTGGAGGGGTTGTATGCCCCAGCTGCGGCTGCAGGAAGAACCCGTCGTACTTCTCGTTCTGCTACCATTGCAAACAAACGCTGCCGAAGCTTGGTGCTCCTCCTCCTCGTCGTGAGTGGACTTACGCCCCGTGGGTCTCTGTCGTCGGAGGTGGCAAGGGTGGTAAGCTTGGCGGGAAAGGTTCTAAAGGAGTCAAAGAAAGATATGGGAAAGGCAAAGGTGGAGGCCCAACGGACGTCGATCGGAAGCCGCCCAGGAACAGTGTGTCTGCACATGACGAGCTTCACCGCCTGCCCCAACTCGTCTCGGGAGGAAAGCTCAAGGGAGTTTTACCAGATGCGTCCTGTGCCGCGATCTCTCAAGCTTGGGAAATGGCTCAAGCCGAACGCCGTGCTTCTGTGCCGCCATCCAGAGTGTTGCTCCGTGCTGAGCAGGACCAGCAGAAGGCCGAGAAGAGGATCAACCAGCTCAAGTCGGACCTCGAGGCAATCGAAGTCCAAGTGGAGGAGCTGCTCACCAAGAAGGAGGAGCTCACGTATCTTGTCAAGTCAGAAGAAGAGGCTCTCGAGAATCTCAAGAAGGAGACTGCAGCGAAGGCTGCAGCAGCACTACCCACGGTGGGGGGTTCTGCCCCACCAAGTCTCGAGGGTTTCGTTCAGCAGTTATCGGGTTTCACGGCCACTCTCTCTGGTGTACAATCTGATGAGTTACGGTCTTCACTGGAAGACAAGTATCGGATATTTCTTGATGAGCTGCGGGCCGCAATGCCAGGCCCAGAGAGGCCAGCCCCAGCGTCACCTCCAGCAGCCACTACTATGGAGGTCGACGAGACCATCATCATCGAGGCTGTCGAAGCAGTCGAGGGGTGCTCGGATGCGATCAAGAGGCAGCTTTTCGACAACCTCAGAGTGGCTGCCAAGAAGCCACGTTTTCGTTCCCCAGCT